TGTTCCTGTTTGCCTCCATTTTGTCCCCATTTCATCAGGCCTCTTCTTTCTATACTTCTGTCCTGACCAGACCTGGTGATCCATCATTTCAAACCCCCGTTATTGCCAATATCCTTTAATTTCCTTGTCCTCTTAACCCTCTGACCCTGGGTCACCTGAACAGTCTGCCCTCTGAACTGCTGAGTGCTGCTGCAAACACAGCATAATCTTCCTCTCCAGCCTTCGCTGAGCTCTCAGGGCAGCCTGCTTAATCATCCTGCTACCTTTCTGGGGCAGCCCCACTGTGAATAATCCTGCCTTCTCCTCAAGTCCCTCATCCTGCAGACTTGCCTTCTATTTCACAAAGGACATTCAGGATGATAGGTGTTACCTACTTCAGCTTCTCTACTATGCTCCAGCCATCCTTATTGTCTTCCCTCTCTCCTCAGAGGACAAGGCATTCCTACTTCGAGTGGCAGACTTCTCTGGGTCCTGCAACTCCTCTTCTTCAGTCTCCCCTTTTGTCTTGATCCATCGTGTAGCACATTTTTTTCCTTTGCTTTTTGTCCTAAAAATTTTAACCTTTCTTGACCTACTGATCACAAACCTGCATCAATCTCTGTCATCTGAAAACAAATAGCTCAGGCAACATATTTTCTTTTGAAACCATGTCTGTCTGCACTGAAGCACTTTGCCCTTTCCTTTCTGAACCTGTTCTTGAAAGAGCAGTTTCCATTCCTGGGGGGCTACTTCCTTATCTTCCGTTTGTTCACTTCAGTTTCATTTCTGCCTCTACCAGTCTACCATGAGTGGAACCCTCCTTCTTGACACTTTCTTTTTTCAGTTGGTACTATTTTGATTTTTTTTTCTCCTTCACTTCTTCCCTCTCCTTCAATACTTCCACATTTCCCAGAATTAGAATTGAAATTCCCCAGAATTCCAACTGTAGACCCCTCTTTATACTGTCCTTGGGCAGTGTTTTCTGTTTTATGACTTCAAATACTATGTGTGTAGCAGTATTTTACCTCCTTCCTCAAATCCGTACTCATGTGTTTAACTCTCTGTTGCATATCTCCATTTGGTTGTTCTCTAGAATCTCCACTTAACATGTCTAAAACTGAACTAACCACCATCACTTCCACTTGAAGACCACTGTGGTGTTTTCTGTCTCAGGTAATAGAACCAGCACCCACCATCTGCCACACTGGAAACCGCCTCTTCCTTCCTGTCTGCCTAGCCAACTGCTCCATGCTGCTGACGGGTCTCCCTGAATAGTTTAAAAATTCCTCTTTTTTTGTCTTTATTCCTAGTATTGCTGTTCTGGTGTTAGGTCTGTAGCATATTTCATTTTTCAATATTCTCCAACTGGTTTTTCTTCTCTGAACTGAACTGCCACTTAAATTTATTCTGCAGGTGGATATATTTAAAATGAAGTCCTGAGCACCTCACTTTCCTGCTTCAAATTCTTCACTGGCTTTCCATCATGTGTAGGATAGAATCCATTCTCCGTAGTATGGCATACAAGGCTTTTGGGTCACATGTTAGGCTTTTCATTAATTGTTGTCGTACTGAATTGACACAGTTCCTGTGGATAGAGTTTTCAACTAGATTGTACCACCACCCACATATCCTTGACAACACAGGAGGTGCTGCCTTTAACAGGTAGCCCGTGAAGGTGGCAGGTAGAAGAATGATTTTCTAGGGGCCCTGGGCCGGCTCAGTCGGTGAAGCATGTGGCTCTTGATCTCGGGGTTGTGAGTTTGAACCCCGCGTTGGGTATAGAGATTACCTAAAAAAGTTGAAAAAAAAAACAAACTAAAACAAAAGAATGATTTTCTACTCCTTTTGAGAAATAGTTTAAAAACATTCCTTTGAGGCGCCACCTTTTGAGGCAGAAGCTACACTGTAGTCATCTCTTAGCTCTTTATGTTCAGGAGCAGGTCGGTGGTGAGGATGGGTAAGACTTTGTTTTTATCATTTGTCCCTCTACTGGAAAAAAAAAATGTTTATAGTATTCTTTTGCCTCTTTCTCATCCCATAATTTATTAAGTAGTTTCAGGCATTCCTTGTTTTATTACACTTTGCTTTATTACGCTTTGCAGATACTGTGATTTTTACAAATTGAAGGTTTGTGGCAACCCTGCTTTGAGCAAGTCTGTCAAAGCCATTTTTTCCAACAGCATTTGCTCAGTTCGTGTCTCTGTGTCATATTTTGGTAATTCTCACAGTATTTCAAACTTTTTCATTATTATTATATTTGTTATGATGATCTGGGATCAGTGGTAATGACTCACTGAAAGCTTAGATGATGGTCAGCATTTTTAGCAATGAAGTATTTTTTAATTAAGGTGCATACATTGTTTTGTTAGACATACTGCTATTGCACATGAATAGACTGTGGTATAGTGCAAAACATAACTTTTATATGCACTGGGAAACCCAAAAGTTGATTTGACTCACTTTATTGTGACATTGCTTTTTTGCCAAGGTCTGGAAGCAAACCTGCAATATCTCCAAGGTATGCCTGTATTAATTTTTTTTTTTAAAGATTTTATTTATTTATTTGTCAGAGAGAGAGAGTGGAGAGCACAAGCAGGGAGAGCGGCAGGCAGAGGGAGAAGCAGGCCTCCCGCTGAGCAAGGAGCCCGATGCGGGACTCGATCCCAGGACCCTGAGATCATGACCTGAGCTGAAGGCAGACACTTAACCGGCTGAGCCACCCAGGCGTCCCAAATCTTTTTCTTTTAAATACCTTATTTATTTATTTATTTGTCAGAGAGAGAGCACAAGCAGGGGGAGCGGCAGGCAGAGGAAGAAGCAGGCTCCCCACTGAGCAGGGAGCCCAATGCAGTACTCGATCCCAGGACCCTGGGATCATGACCTGAGCTGAAGGCAGGCACTTAACAGACTGAGCCACCCAGGTGCCCCTAATTTCTTTAAATTAAACACTTAACGGACCACGTCAGGACATGGTTATGTCAGGTGATATGCTTAGTGCCCTAGAAAATTAAGAAGAAAAGGTTCCCATCTTCAGGGAAATCACAGTGAAGTGAATGTTGAGACAGATAAACATTACAGTAGAATGTGATAAATGCCATGATAGAGTCATATCCATTTGACTAGGAAGACACTGGATGCCATCTAGCTTCAAGTTACTTGGAGTCCCAGATCCCTACCTCGTTGTTCAGGACCTTTATGCGGTTTGGGCCCTGCTTGTGCAGCCGACCCTGTACTCCAGTCGTCTTGGACACCTCACTTTTTTTCTGAATGCAGTACCACCTTTCATGATCTTTCATGACCTTTGTCTTTGTATTCTTTGTACTCTTAACTGTCTCAAGTACCTATTTCTATTTTTTGCCCAGCGCATTGTTTCTGTTCACCCTTTTGAGTACCAGCTCAAATGGTGCTTCCTGCCCTGCTAACCCAGAAAGTTATTTGCTTCCTTTTCTGTGCCCACAGAACTCTTCTCATATTTTCATATAACATTTAATCATAATGCATTATCTGTTTACATCTCTGTCTCTCCCTCTAGACTCATGACTCTTCAGAAGTACATACTGTGACTTAATCATCTTTATGCCATGTTATTTAGCTGGCATATTACTTAGAGCAAACTACCGAATATGAGTCTTAATTAACTTTACTATTTTACTTATCACTTCTTTTGGTTTGTGCACTGGTACACTTTTTCATCTGCTTAATACTTATACCTGCCAGCATTCTTTACCTTTGTTAAGTACATACAGTTCAGTTCATTCAGCTCACAAGAGACAGAGCACTACTGTGGGCTAGGTAATGTGTTAGGCATGGGGAATGCAAATTAGTTCTTGGGAAGGAGCTTACAGTGGAGGGGGAGCGATAGTTAAGTAAACAGATGATCTATCACAATTTCTGCTAAGTAAGCAATGTGAAGAATGCTATGATACTGGGAAGCCCAGGGTGCCTTGGGGGTGTAACTCTCCCAGTTGCTTGGAATCAGAGAAGGCTCCCTGAAGGAACTGCACAGTAGGATCTTGAAGGGAAGGGAGCAGCGTGGAAGGATGTGGCAGGACAAATTGCTCTGGGGGGACTGCTGAGTATGACTTGGGAGGGCTTGAAGCAGAGACAAAGGGAGTTTAGACTAGATCTGTAGCCAAGGACGAGATGGTGAAGAACCTCGTGTCATGCTGACAAGCTCCGAATGTTTTTCTAAATGTAGTGTGAAGAGCCCCTGAAGAATTTTAAGCCAGTTTTATCAAATTTATGTTTTTAAATATTAAATAGCTTCTTGTGCTTTCTTCCCTCCCCCTTTTCCAAATATTGTCACGTTCATTCTGATTCTTCCCCCTTTTTTAAGTGATGTTTTGGATTTTTCCTTTGTTCATTTGGAGTTTTCTTGAACACTTAGTGTCACCTATAACCTGTTATCTCTAACCTTGTGTGGGAAAGAAGGATTAGACAGACATGCTCTGTCAGTTTTGCCAAAATTCTCTATGTTGAGTTACTTCTCGATTGTTGGGTTTTCTCTCTTAATGAATATTCCAAATTTGTTTTTGTGTCTTATTTACCAGTCAACTTTTGCCTGGTGAGGTACATAAAGGATATACTACAGTGAGTAATAAGATTCAAAATACCTTCCCACCTTAAAGTCCAACATCCCTTTGGCATTTTATTAAAAGAGGGACATGAAATTTCTGATAAACCATTGAGGGTTAATTCCATGAATGACTTTATTTAAATAGTGTTACATATGAGATGAGACCTTAATTGGTTTGTTTGTTTTTTTAAAGATAATTTTAAAATAGGCAGACCTTTGCAAATTAAGCTGGAAATTTGAGATTTCTATGAAGTCTACCTCACAAAATTATTTTCCTTGTCACTGAGCAAAATTTACCAGCTGAATGTTTGAAATCTAGCTCAGCCCTGTACCTTCTTGGGCTTAAATTTCCTCATCAAAATAATGCAGGACTTGTGATAGATGATTTCTAAAGTCTTTTTCTGTTTTATGAGTTTTGTATCCTACATTTAATAATTTTTTCCAAATTATCTTTCATGTAGTGCTCACATGGTCTTCTGAAGAAGCCATGGGTAGCTGTTGTAGCTGTCCAGATAAAGACACTGTCCCAGATAACCATCGGAACAAGTTTAAGGTTAGTAAAACTGGTTGAGTTATATCTCTCTGCCTACTTGGATGTTCTTCTTTTTCTTCACATTATATATCATACTTCCTCATTTTTATCTCTAGACTCTTCTATTTCTCTTTGTGTCTCTTCTGCCTTTTCTTGTTTTAACAAATGATGACAATATGTTCTTACTGACAGTGTGGAATCCTCTTTTACTTTCCATTTGGTCCTCTATATCCAATTAGAGCCATACAGTTCTAGTAAAAAAAAATTTTTAATGCCATTTTATAGGTGCCTCTTCAGTCTGGTCACCACCTCCCAGTCATTGCTTCATGTCTGGATAATTTCTTAGCAGAACTCTGCCTTGAGTCAGTCACCTTTGTGATCCATCCTGCAGTTGACATCATACTCATCTTCCTCTTTCATCATTCTAAAACTTCTGGTGTCCTCTTACCTAGAGCACAGATGCTCCATTTCTTACCTCTCCACAGCCATTTAGTGTCTCCCGTAGCCTGACCTCAGGTTGTCATACATCATGGCCTCTGGATCACACAGACCCAGGTGTAAGTCGAAACCGTGTTGCTTTGTAGCTTTGTGACCTTGGGCAGGTTACATTATCACTGTGTGTTTGTTCCAGTTTTGTACAGTACAGTGGAAAAAAATAGCATTACCTGCAGTTTAGGATTGTTATAAGGATTAAATGGAAAAAATATGTGGAAAGCGCTCTGCCAGTCCCAGGAATACAGACAGTTTTCTCCAAGTGTTACCTACTCCTCATAGTCTCTGGCCATTTTCAGAAACTCAGCAGTGTAAGGCCTCCCCTTCCGTGAACTCTGTGCCAGTCTTGTCTTGGTCTCTCTGAAACATACCTTCTTCGTCTCTGCTCTAGCACTGCATCTTCAGGATATGCCCCACAACCGCTGACCCACTGGTTCTCTCCTGAGGCCCAGCCGAAGTCCCTCCTCTTCTCACGTGAAGGCTTCCCCAGCCACCCTAGGCCACAGTTACTGCCTTTTGCAGGCTCTGTTGCACCCATTTGTCCATTGCTCATATACAGCTTAGTGTTGACTTCATGTTTGTGTATCTTCTATGCTCACTGGGCATGTGAGCTTCTTGTGGATAGAACCAGATAGTTCACTGCTACATAGTCCATGCCCCGCACACACATTGGTTGATGAATGAACTAACAAATGAGCGAATAAGTGAACCAATCAGCAACAGTGCGTTTTACTGATAGACTGGTGAAATACGTGTGTGACCGTCAAATGACCACATTAGGTTGGCACTAATTAAACGTTCTTTTTTAGGTCATTAATGTGGATGATGATGGGAATGAGTTAGGTTCTGGCATAATGGAACTTACAGACACAGAACTGATTTTATACACTCGCAAACGTGACTCGGTAAAATGGCACTACCTCTGCCTGCGGCGCTATGGCTATGATTCAAATCTCTTTTCTTTTGAAAGTGGCCGAAGGTGTCAAACTGGACAAGGTAGGTAGATCCTTTAATTTTTTTGTTCCCCAGACAGTAACACATTTGAAAATTGTTTTCAGTTATTCTATTTACAATGTTTAAATGAATACTTTTTTCCTGATAGAAAAAAAATTCCCCAACTAAGTGGATTGTTAAGAAAAGAGATAGAGTAAACTGCGTCTTCATTTATCAGGAATTTATTAAGCACATTCTCTTTGTACAGAATTTTGACTCATATTATTTAAGATTTTCAGTAGATGATTAGTTCCAGTAAATTGACTGTGTATCTTTACTGTTACAACTTTTTGGGGAAAGAACCTAAACTTCAGAGTCAAAGAGAACACGGTTTGATTTTTTTGCTACCTACTGCTTGAAAGGTCTTGGGCAAGTTACATGATCTCTGTAGAACATCAGGTTTCTTCTCTATCGGAGAGGAATGCTAATCCCTACTTTATAGAACTGTTGTAATAATTAAACAAGGTAAGGATTGTAAGTAAACCATCCAGCAAGGGACTGTCAAATGGTAAAGGATCACCTTGGTAATGGTGACTTGGGTGCCCCCTGCTGTTAAAAAGCAGACCAAAGCAAGTGTTCAAATCTTGTTTTTGTCTGCCTTGTTTTGGGCTCTCTCACTTAGACATAGGAAAATTAGTCTGTAAATTTCCTTTTGGGTTTATGTTTTGAAACAGAGAATATCATTAATTTATCAGACATCTACTTAAAGGGCCTTTCTTCCTGTCAGTGCATAGAATGCTTACTTCACAGTTTTGTTCTTTGACAGGTGTTCCTGTATCTTTTTTAAAGCTATAGCTACCATTTTCCCCTTCTCTTTTATATTTGTAGGAATCTTTGCCTTTAAGTGTGCCCGTGCAGAAGAATTATTTAACATGTTGCAAGAGATTATGCAAAATAATAGTATAAATGTGGTGGAAGAGCCAGTTGTAGAAAGGAATAATCATCAGACAGAATTGGAAGTCCCCAGAACACCTCGAACACCTACAAGTAAGTACCAATTTTCCCTCTTGTATTTTGGGAAGTTTTCAATTAGCAAGAATCGCGCCTCGGATAAACCTCATTGGCTACGATACTGCCACTGTGCAAAGCTCCCTCTTGTATTTTGAATAATAGACATTTATAAACTTTGGATTATGGATATTTAATCTGTAACGCCTTAGAAATCACCAATGGCTAATAACGTAAGTGTAATGGTTGTCAGTTTTTTTTTTTAAACTGTTAGAGCTATAATTATAAACATTTTTAATATTTTAAGTAAGAAAACGTTAAAAGTTTTATGTTACCTAAAATGTGAATGGGAAGTTGGAGTGGAAGGAGGGTGTTGTTTGTGCTCTGGTTTCTGTTGTGTCTTGCCAGAAACACCTTGCTTAATTTTCTCAGTGCAGATTCCATTCTCATTCACTTTTATCTCTCTGTCCTGCCCCGATATCCTGCTTTTCTTCTTAAACCACTAAACAAAAACTCAGCTCCAGGGTTTGCTGCTCAGAATTTACCTAATGGATATCCCCGATATCCCTCATTTGGAGATGCCTCATCCCACCCCTCAAGCAGACATCCTTCTGTGGGAAGTGCACGCCTGCCTTCAGTAGGTGAAGAATCTACACATCCTTTGCTTGTGGCCGAGGAGCAAGTAAGCATGTACTACTGTCTAATGGGATAATGGATTAAAGTGTGGAGTGAAAGCATTACTGCGCTGATACGTGGAAATTTTAGTCTGAATTTTAGCTTTCACTGTTTGTTTATGACTTTTGTAGTGAAGAATCAGAGGAAACAGCTTATATTTTCTAACATATGCCAAATACATAAAGGTGTGGAGGGAAACGTAGCATTACAGTAGCCTGTGGGCTCACAGGAGAGGTGCATCTGTAGGTAAAAACAGATACAACTAATGGTCAGTTCTTGCTATAATAACCGCTGATGGATTTGGAATTTATACTGCTCTTTATTAGCAGGAAGGTAGATTTTGTTGTCAATGTTTTTATGAAGCTATTTAACGTTTCTAACTATTCTGTTTTTCATTTGAGGAATGAAGTATTTGGTTGAACATTGTCTATATATTAATTAGTTATTCTTATCTTTTGTAAACCAAATGGTCACATATCATTAAGAAATTTTTACTGTTTTAAAATCTGTTTCTCTGTGTTCTTTACATAGTAAATGAGTTCTTATTTACTATAATTACACTTCCCTCAGTTTTTACATTTTATTTTTGAATTTTTTCAAATTTTTTGTATAGTCTTCCAAACTTTTTTTAAAGATTTATTTATTTTAGAGAGAGAGAGAGAGAGAGAGACCTCGCTCGCTTGTGGAGGGGGAGGGGCAGAGGGAGAGGGAGGGAATCCTAAGCAGACGTCGCCCCCCGCACCTCCCCTCCCCTAGCGTGAAGCCTGATGCAGGGCTCAGTCCCATCACCCTGAGATCATGACCTGAGCCAAAATCAAGAGTTGATACTTAATTGACTGAGCCACCCAGGTGCCCCTAGTCTTCCAAACATTTTTATAGTGTTCCCCCAAAATACTATTGACCTTTTCTTTAAATAGTGATGATTTCTTAGTAGGTGGTATTTATTTTATATCAATGCATTTTGTAGAACTCTTATTAAATCTAGTAGGGTTTATCTCTTTATTTGGTCACATTATCTGCAAATCATGATAAATTTGTCTTTTTTTTTTTTAATACTTGTTATTCCTTATTTCTGAATCATGTTTTAATGCATTGATGAGCTTTTCTAAAACAACATCAAAATGGTAATCCCAGTTTGTTCCTGAATTTTTTTTAACAGAATGCTTTTCATTACCAAGTACAATGTTATGTGCTATTTTAGAGTAGTTATTCTGGTTTTTGTTTTTTTTTTTAAAGATTTTTATTTATTTATTTGAGACCGAGAGGGAGAAGCAGACTCCCCGCTGAGCAGCGAGCCTGACATGGGGCTCAGTCCCAGGACCCTGAGATCCTGACCTGAGCCGAAGGCAGGCCGTTAACTGACTGAACCACCCAGGCGCCCCTAGAGTAGTTATTCTTCTATCAAGTAAAGAATGTATTTCCACAGTCCTCTCCTCTGTCCACCTTTTTATTAGTGAAGAACAAGGACAGAAGCTTTGAAGGAAGAGTATAGGGTAGGGAGAAAGCTAATCGATTAAAATTTAACTGATACGGGGGCGCCTGGGTGGCTCAGTTGTTAAGCGTCTGCCTTCGGCTCAGGTCATGATCCCAGAGTCCTGGGATCGAGCCCCGCATCGG